TTAGACGAAACTATTTTCAATTTTTTAATGGATTTAGGAGAGTATACCAGGTGATTTAGAAGAATTAAAAAAAATAATTTTTACAGTGTTTACTTTGTTTTTGTCGCTCGGGACAAGTTTTTTTGTAGACGCTGTGTATAACATTTTCGTATAAGAAAGCTGTCGAAATTTCACATAATTGTATAATTTTAAAATCATTTTTTTTAATGTACAGTGTGAATCATAAAATTCTTTCTTCTTTGTATTTTGTTTATTCTTGGTCGTAAACTATTTTTGGAAAATTAAAAAAAACGAATTTTCACAATGTAAAATTTGTCACTCGGGCCAAATTTTTTTTGTATACGCTTTGAATAAATTTTTCGTATAAGAAAACTGGCGAAACTTTACATAATTGTATAATTTTAAAATCAATTTTTTTGATATAGAGTATGATTCATAAAAAAATTCTCGTATTTTTTTTATGTATTTTTAGTCAAAACTATTTTCAATTTTTTAATGCATTTATGAGAGTATACCAGGTGATTTAGCAAAATAAAAAAAAAGAATTTTTACAGTTTTAACTTTCTTTTTGTCGCTCGGGACAAGTTTTTTTGTAGACGCTCTATAAAATTTTCGTATAAGAAAGCTGGCGAAACTTCACATTATTGTATAACTTTAAAATGAATATTAATAAACTTTAATCAATTTTTTTGATTATAAATCATAAAATTCCTTCCCTCTTGTATTTTGCTCATTTTTTGGGCATACGTATACTAGGTGATTCATAAAAAACGCAAAAAACGTACATTTAGTGTTAGATTTGTTTTTGTGGCTCGCTATACAGTGTGAGTCACAAACCCCTTCCCCGCTTGTATTTTTCTAATTTGCGGTCGTAAAACTCTGCGGTTTTCGTTATTTCAAATCGAATTAAAAGTGTAATACTTGTACAAAGTCGGACGTGAACTTTAGACAACCATACACTGCTTCCAATCACTTTCTCTTAATTATTAATTATAACAGAAAAATAATTGCACAAATTCTAGCGATTTTGCGAAAATAACCCGACTTGAAATAAGTGTAACAACACGTCAACTAGAAAAACTCTCTCTTTTTTCCTCGCCACATCTTGCAAGCAAGCAGCGAATTTTGCAATGACCCCTTGCATACCTGTATGTGACGTAATCGTAAGCTGTAACGATCAAACCATTAGCGATAATATCAACAGCTACATAATCGGCAAAGTAATCGCTACGGCCATACATGGTTCTTATCACGCCTTTCCCGGCACCAATCAAGAGTCCTGTGGGACCATTTATGTTATCGGTCCAGCCAGGAACTGGTTCCTTCCAAATTGGAACCACTGAAATTTTTTTTTTCAAAAAAAAAAACAAAAAAAAATTTTTTTTATTTATTACCAGCCGCGGGCCTTTGGATGATTACAGGGAGAGTGTCCATTTGTTCCGTCACTAAGCCTTCACCCAAGGCTTTAGTAAAGGTATAGTTATTGGCACTGGCCCCCCTCATCCTGAAAAAAAAATTAAAAAAATTGGAAAAAAAATAAATTATTACTGACTTTTGTGCGATTGTATCCAAAGTGTCTTCATTCATCCATTCGCACATGTCAATGATTCGGTGGGGGTCACAAGGAGGGGGGTAGGTCTTCTCGTTGAGTACTTCTTGCGTTTCTTGACAGTAGGCTGTGGATACGTGACAAAAAACGATCAATTTTTTGCATTCTTTCGCCAGTGTGAGCATAAGACGAGTGCCTCGAACGTTTAATAAAACCGTTTTTTTGAATGGTTCGTCGAATTGAACGGTTGCGGCCGAATGGTAGATGATTTCGGTCTCTTGAACTAGTTTTAGGCGGTCGTCGGGACTCAAACCCAAGTCGGGGGCGCTAATGTCGCCCGAAATGGGTTCGACTTTTTCGAGGACGATCTTGCCGTGCTGTTTTTTGAGCATCTCGAATAACTAAAAAATATAATAAAAACACAAAATCTATAATGACAAAAATTCAATATTTTTTAACAAAATAAAGAATAAGTTGTTTAATTCAGTTGGTTTTTAAATCTGTTAAGAAAATACAGTCATAGTAGCCTATGAGTTTAAAATTAAGTGGCAGAAAATACAAAAATTCACAAGTGGTGTATCTTCTGTCACTCCAAAATGCATTGTTGCCAACTTCATTTCAAAGTCACAGTTCACTTTTTTTTATTCAAACTTTCGTTTTTTTTTTATTTTATTGCCCCCAAAAATGGAAGAATCTTTATCCCAATGTCTGTAATTACATATTACAGTACAGAGTAAAAGTAAAAAAATGATAACAAATAAAATACGTAACGAAAAAACTAAAATATTAAATATAATGTCACAATTACGTTATTATTTACTTTGTATTATTAATCTGTTATTCAAAATTGAACATAAAAAATCTATTTAGTATTTGAAATTTTGAAATGTTTTGTTTTAACAGAGAGTCTGCTAAAACAGATTTAATCAATACATTTACGTCAAAAAATAATTTATTTTCTACAGAATTGAAAATTAAAAAAAATGAATACCTGTTCAGCTACATGAAGAGAATTTTCAAAAATACCAAAAAATATACATCACCCTGTATCTCTTTGATGAAGCGTTATTAAAATATATTAGGTTATTTGATTTAGTACAAAACGTTGCATCCAATTATGACCCACCCTGTATACAGGATGCGCCAGAACTCGAGCCCCAGAGAAAAAAAAATGTTAAAAAATTTTTTCTATTAAAATTTCGAAGTTATGAAGGCTTAAATTTTGCACTTTGACTCTATTTATTCTGTTGAAAAAATAATTTTCCAAATTTTTTTTACCACAGGCTATACTACTAGAGGAAACAAGGAAACTGTATCCTAAAATGAAACTCTGTTTAATGTTATTTGTCGTTTTTATTGGCAAAATTTTTGTACCTTTACTAAATAATTGTAAAAAACCATATACAAATGTCAAAAAATGAATGTCAAAATTTTTTGACAGAATTTTTTAAACATTTTTTCCATGTTTTTGGTATCTTATCTTACTTGAAATTTTTCTCTGGGCGCGAGTTCTGTCGCACCCTGTATATTAAAAGTGAGGTTTTTAACTGATTTACTTTAAAATTGCGGAAGTTTATAAGAAAAAACAAGCTACGAAATTAAAATTTGGGTTTTATGAAATTGTTGAATTTGGAAAATGTAAATTTTCAATAAATACAATAAAAAAATAATATTTTTAAAACAAGGAGTGGTTAAAATTGCTTTTCTAAAAGGAGACATTTAAAAAGTAAAGAGAAATAAACAAATTATGATATTTTATAAAGAGAATTTTCAAAAATACCAAAAAATATACATCCTGTATCTTTTCAATGGACCATTTTTGTTACAAATGTATTAGGTTAAGTGCTTTGTTTTAACCTAGAGGCCTTGGTGAAAAAATTACATCTTATTATAACTCACCCTGTATATTAACAAGAATTTTCAAAAATACCAAAAAATATACATCACCCTGTATCTTTTCAATGGACTATTTTTGTTACTAAAATGTATTAGGTTAAGTGCTTTGTTTTAACCTAGAGGCCTTGGTGAAAAAATTACATCTTATTATGACTCACCCTGTATATTAAAACAAATATTTTTAACTGATTTATTTTAAAATGGCGGAATTTTTTTGGAAAAAATTTAATAAAAGTCAATAGACATCAAAATTTATGTTTTATTAAATTGTTGGAAGAAAATGAAGAAAAATTAGGAAAATTCACTTTTTGAATGAAAAATAAATGTTTTTAAGACAAAATTGGCTAAAAAAGGAGACATTCACAAAAATAACATAATACAAATGTGGTATTTTTTTATTTTTTGTTTAGTTTATTTATTTTTATTATTGTTCATTCAAGAGAAAAATAACTTACTGGTCCCCTGAAAATCCTAAAGAAGCATTGTTGAAAAAAACGTTAATCCAATTATGACTCCCTCTGTTTACATTAAAACTAATATTTTTAACTGATTTATTTTAAAATCGCAGAGTTTTGGGGGAAAAATAATTAATAAAAGCAAGTAGAAATCAAAATGTGCTTTTAAGAAAATAAATAACAATTTAGAAAATGTAATTTGTGAATAAATAAAATACAACAATGAAAAATGAATGTGGTTAAAACTGTCTTTTCGAAAAGGAGATAATCAAAAAAGTAACACTATTTTTGGTATTTAAAAAAAAAAAAAATTGTTTATTTTTTTATTATTCTTCATTACAAAAAAAAGAGAAAATAACTTACTGGTCCGCTGAAAATGTCTTGCAGCCTGTCGTGTATATTTTTTCCATTTTTGGCCCTTATCAAGACGTAAATCCTCCTCAAATCCGTACAACTCCTCAACAACTTTTCGATCAAAACCTTCCCTAAAAATCCACTCCCTCCCGTAATCAGAATGGTTTTATCTTTAAAAAAATCGGCGATTCGATTAGGTTCCGAGTTTTCAATAATTTGCACCATTGTCTCACAATCCACGTTCAAACTGACCCATTGGTATCTGTTGGTTCCCATTTAAATTTCCCCCTCTCGTCCCCCGCCCTCGACTTTTACCATCGCCCGAAAAAAATTTGAGAAAAAAATTCGTAATTATTTTCCGACAACAACAATTAAGAAAATCACGTAAGAATGTTAAAAATATGAGAGAATGCGTCTGGGTGCGCATAGAGAAAGAAAAATTTTTTAATACGAATTTAAAGCGCGAATTTTATGGAATTATGTAAATGTATGGATTATGGGTGTTTAGAAAGTGGTTCGAGTGTGTTTAAATTTCTTAAACCGTAGCTTGGGATTTGAGAATTGAACGGAAGACGAATTATGGATTATGTGGGATACAGGATGTTGAGGTTGAGAAATTTGAGAAAAACGAGAGAAGACTCAATTATGGTTTATGGCGTTTCATAAGACTTAATTCTTGATCTTGACACTTAAACTTAATTATCTGAGGCATAAAATCGCAATTTGTGCACTTTTTGTACGAATTATCCCGCTACTGCATACAGGGAGCAACGGAAATAAGTACAAAGTTTTCAAATTTTATCTGCACCCCCACAAACAACATCTTTTTATTCTTTATTTTAAATATTTTTTAAATCTACTTAACACGTTATAATTAATTTTTTATTGCATAAAAATGAAAAAAATATACGTCACCCTGTACCTCTTTAATGAAGAATTTTATTATTAAAGTATATTAAGTTAATTGCTTTAGTGAAAAAGATTAGATCTAATTGTGACTCACGCTCTATATGGTTATCAAAAGTAATATTTTTAATTGATTATTTTAAAATTCCGGAATTTTGGTAAAAAACAATAAAATTTAATTGTAAGCAATGGAAAATTTGCGTTTTATGACATTGTTGGAAGAAAATGAAGAAAAATTTAGAAAATGTAAATTGTCAATAAATACAACAATAAAAAATAAATGTGTTTAAAATAAGGGGTGGTTAAAATTGCTTTTTTAAAAGGAGACGTTTAAAAAGGAAAGTGAAAGAAACAAATTTTGATTTTTATAAAGAGGATTTGCAAAAATACCAAAAAATTTACAATATTTTTTAATTCTACTTTATACCCTATGATTTATTTACAATTAAATGTTTTTTTATAGTATCGAAGTTTCTTGTGCACAAAAATGAGACAAAACTTTGAAAATTCGTAATTCTGTGAAAATAGAAAGCGGAAAAAACGGATGAAAATGATACAAAAAAACATTTTTTATACTATTTTGAAATTCGTAAAATCTAGTCAGAATTTATTGATTTTGTCAAACTTATAAACTAGGTGAATCAAGTTTTATTCGCACCTAAACACCTCTTTATAATGAAACTGAAATTAAAGAAAAAATCATTTTTTTTAACTAGAACCACATTTTGTTCAATTTTATATAATTTTTTTCGGTTTTCCTTTGTTAACATGAATGTACTTATTTTCGTTACATGCGGTACAAGTCTCATCATTTTCGCTTAAAAATCCGATTTTTGACATCTTCATCTTATTTAAAGTGAAATAAAAACCAGTTTTCTGACTTTAATAAATTGATGATTCCGGAATTGCATCAAATTTTACATTTAAACCAGTTTATTAGAGAAAAAATAATAAAAAACACCAGTTTATGCACAAGTTTATTAACTTTGGACCGTTTTACGGTAGCAAATTAGAATTAATTTATAAATTAGGTTATTGATCAAAATTTGGGACAAAAATAAAATAAAAAAAATGTAAAATTGTCTTGACGTAAACTTATTTGTAGTATTCTAAATTTAATGTTTTACTCTTGTCTTTTTTATAATTTTTTAAGTGGCTTTTATTTTGAATTTAAGTTGGCAACACTGATAAAAATATGAAATTTTCAAGTCTCAAATATTGTGTCTGTTTTTCCGCCTACTTAGGTAAACAAATGAAGAATGGTTGTCGTTTATTTCAATTTAATGAAAATACAATTTTTGTAATTTTGTTAACAATAAAATGAAAGTTTTGTTTTGCTGTTGTGCCACCTTGTATATATTTTTTTGAGTAATACGTCAGTGTGATTTTTGTCGTCATGTTGGCCTTGACTTTCAAATTCAAACGTCAAATTTTTACAGTTAATTGTCATTAGAAGAATTACAAACAATTCAGTGTTGCCAATCATTTATAATCACCCAGTATTCTTTTGAACGCTGATTTCCCATTTTACAATTAAAATGATGCTAGTTAATTAGCGAATTTTAAGTTTTGTTTGTATACTTTAATGAATTTTATAAACAATTTATATTTATAAACACGTGTGTGTGTGTGAAAGTCGTGTGATTACATGCCGATGCTTGTCCACGTAGATAAATCAAAATCGTTGATAAATCCTCGTTGACTTTCATTAAAAATCAAAAATACATCAAAATCGCGACGAGTTACATAAGATAAGAAAGCGTCGGCTTTTTACTGAGATACTTTTCATGGTCTTGGCCTCTTTGGTTATACAACAAACTGGTTCTCTAGTAATCTGGCTATCTAGTGCACGTGTCTTCGCATTTTCTTTTTAGAAAAATACCGCACTCGAATAGTTAAGAAATTGAATTTATTACAGCATTTTCTCGACTCGGATTTGCAATTATCGAAACATCGTATTGTCCCACTTTATTTAAAAGTTATATAACTTTTGTGTAAATTATTCAGCATCTCGTATATTGATTGCGCAGGTTCTACGTATAAAGTTCAGAAATAATATATTTGTTGCAAAATAATAATCACTCATATGGCTCTGACTTTCCTTAACGCTAGCCGAGAAAATTAATTACTGAATATTTCGGTGTTGCCCAACCGAAAATCCTACTTTTTCAAAATTTTGACTATTTTGATGACTTGAGTTGCGCAATCGCTTATGGAAGAGTAGAAATTTTAAATGAGATAATTGGAAAAATCGCTCCAATTTAGGCATTGCGTAACTTAATTAATAATTTGCCACATTTCGACAATGAATTAAATTAATTAGGCGTATAATTGGTTGCCTATACAACAAAAATGTCACTTCCTGACCTCAAGAACATATTTCCAAAACTATAGTGATGATTAATAAATAAAATTCAATCAAAAAACTGTTTATTTGCATGAAAATAGGAATGTTATAATAATGTCGCTATATATTATATATAATAATCACTTTTTACAAAAATAAAGCCTATTCGCCTTTGTATTTAACAATATTATTTTCGGTTTCATAAACCACAACTTCGTGCAACAATTCCGGCCTTGACATCACCGCTTTCATCCTCTCCCATATGAAAAGGGTCACATTTTCAGTGGTGCTAGCCCTAGTTTGGAAAAATTCAACATCCTTGTCCAAATTTTTATGATCGAGTTGTTTCATTACAGCCTCCTCCATAAACTGTTTCAGCTCGGTCATATTCATAATCATTCCGGTTTTGGGGTCAATCTCGCCAAAAAGAGTCACTTTTACTACAAAAACCAAAAGTGAGGTTATGATAATTTTGCAAAATTTTCATCAAACCAATGTAATTGTGTCCGTGGCCATTAATGTGGTTGCATTTTCCGTAAACTTGAGCGTTTTCGGCGTTGTTCAAATAGGGGCTGTAATAATTTAATGAGAAATAGAAATTAATTGAGGTTAGGTTACCTGTGCAAACGGTGGCTAGCTGAAAATGTGATTTTGCGGGTTTGATAAGCTCTGGGGGGTCTTGAGTCAGACATTTTTTTATAATTTGGAGTATTTCGACGGTGATTTATACTTAAAACTAGGTTTAACACTTGAAGGTTAAGTGCACAAACAAAAACAAAAACGATGTGTATTGTCGTTTGCCTACACAAAAAATTAGCAAATAATTTTTTTATTTTTCATAATTGATAATTTTTTAATGTTTTTAAATTACTTATCATTTGATATCCGTAAAAAATTGAGATTAATTAGTGCTAAGAATAAATGTTTAATAGTTTAATAATAAAAATGCGACTCATATTATTGGTTGCCTATAGAAGAAATAATTTTTTTTTTAATTACTTATACTTATCATTTTAAATATCTGGAGTGTAATTTAATCAAATGTTATTTAAAATTGATTAAAAAGCAACGTGTATTGTTAGTTGCCTGACAATAAGTTAAAAAATGAGCTGTTGTGTTGGTTGCCTACATGTCAAGTTGTATACTATTTTTGGGTTAATTTAAATCCCAAAAAGGGGTTAAGGTCACAAAATATACGTTGTCAATAATTATAACGAATATTGACAGTTTGTAGAAAATTATCAGAAGTAAAATAATTATTTCGCAATTTTGTTTTTCTGCACACACCCATTTGATTCATTGTTTTCCAAATCAGTATCAACAACATAATAAAAACACAGAACGTGCGCAAGTGTCGGTTGAATTTATCAAAAATAACTTTATGAAACTGCGTTTGTTTTACAAATATCTCGACCACTCGATCCGAGAAGAAAAATGCAAATTACACGTTTTATAGTATTTTCCCCCCGCGTTGTTTTCAATTTTTGCCCCACATTTACCATTCGCTCGACGTCCTCGAAACCGATCGTCGACTGTTTCAGAGCGGTTCAGATCGCGGACGGCGATGTTTCACGACAAAACAAAAACAAAAAAATGTGAACGGGAAGTGAGTGGATTTTAGTGTGCCGTGGAATTTTTCAAAAACGATTTTGTTTCGCGCCAAGGAGGCTTGATGGATTTGGAGCAATTTGTGTGAGGTAATTTTGAGAAAAAAAAATATAGAGGTGCGATGTAATTCGCAGCCTGCTTAATTGGATGATCGGTTGAGGTCGTATTAGGTAATAAGTGCTCAAGTCATTTAATAATTGACTTAACGAGCTTTAAATTTACGAAATCGATACAATTTAAAAAAATTGTCACGAAACATTTGTAATAATAATAACAATAACGAAATTGTTTCAACTTTCTATATTAGATAAGCAAGTCTAGTGTTTTTTTTTTTTTTTTTGAAACACCATGTATTATAATTAATAAAATAGCTCAATTTAATTTTAAATTTTGAATGCTTTCAGATAGTCAAAAGTACATTTAAATCGGATTAAAAATAACAGGGATACGCGCCGAGAAACTTTTCTATGCCCCACACTGTATATTAAAGAAAAACAGATTCAGAATTTACATTTTTTTGCAAAATGTGTAAATGTCAAAGATTTATTGTAACCAAAAATTTTTTAAAATTTAAAAAACCGGGTGATTGTAATAAATAAGCGAATCTGGCGATTTTATTTGAAACACTAATAAGGGTAATTTCTTTGCTGGTTCAAATGCTTTCAAAAATAATAATAAACATTTCTATGACACCCCCTGTATATTAGAAGAAAATATGTTTATATAAATTTACGATGTTTGCAAATTTGTAAATATTTTTACATGTTTTTCCTGTTTCGTTATCAAAAATATTATTATACGGGGTGAATCACAAAAAAGGCGCATAGCCATATTTTTGAAAGAAAAAAATAAAACCAAATACGGTTTGTTACTTTATGTTTAATCCGTTTTAGATTAGTCAATGTTGTATTTTTTTGATAAAATCAAAGGTCTTTCTTGATTAAAAAATTGAAAAGGTGCACATTTCGTAATAAATGGCAGGATACTGTAATTAAAATATTTTATAATTAGTGGATTAATTATTAAAATATATTCTCAATTAAAGCGTGTCCCTCAGGGCACCACTTTGTTATCAAACTTTCTAATTATAAAAAAAAGGAGAAAAGTTGGCTTGGATTGTTGACCTTTCGACCGTCCAAAAATTCCAGATCTTGAAAAAAAAACATCAAGTCTTTCACCGACTTTCATTAATTTTTTCTTAAAAAAAGTTATAATTTTATGCGAATTAAGATGGCAAGCCTGTAACCACATACTGTCATTACCAACCCACACAAATGACAAATTTGGTATCCACGGGTGAAAAACCCGATGCGGTCGTTGGCTTCAGTTATAGGGTATGGGAGGGTAAAAATGCAGTTATTGTTAGGTTGGTATCACTGTTAGGTTTGCTCTATTTGTTTGTATAAGTGCAACCGTTATGCACTTTGATATTTTCGTAATAAAGGATTTCTCTGCTCGCTGAATAAGCAGGTAGAAGAAAATTTATGGAAAAGCTATATGATGAAATTAGTTATTTTTATTACCAACCTTGTAATAGAATTTTACTAAATATTTACCCACTTATGCAGGTACATATTTATGTAAATAAAGCAAAAATCAAGTTGGCACCTAGTTAAAACGTCAATTAAAAAAAATAACGATTTGTTTATCCCCAGTTCAGCCAACTTTCACTAATTGTGACATAACAAATGAAGAAATGTCACATCTTAATTCGTAATATTTCCGGTTTTTTCTTATCATTCATCCAATTAAATTATCAGAGAACGAAATAAAAAGACAGAAAAAAAAACTGAAAGTGACTTTCCTTTTATAATTGATGTAATTTTATCAAAATTCGCCTCCTACGATTTAAAACAAATAAATGTGTACTGATGTATAAATCCTGCCGGTCAATTGTTTTGCGGAACGTCACAAGTCAACCTTGAAATTCTTTCAGCCTTACCCAGATGACTTGATGCTCATAACATAACAAAATTTATTCCAACGCCTACTTGAATTAAATTAAATTAATTTAATTATATTTAAATCACGTGACCGTTTTCGCACAGCGAAACGTCACTTGCAATTATTAAATGAAATACCGACTTATGTAACTTGAAAGAATTGCGTTAAAATTAATTAAAAATGACTTAAGCCACTACGATAGTAATATTTTAATGAGGAGCAGTAAATATATAGCGGAACAAAATTCAACAACTTTTATTTTCTACTAATGATTTTTAAACACTTCGTATTAAAGCCTAACATTTTTCTCTTAAAAATTGTAACGCCCTGAATATGTATTTAAAAAATGTTTACATTTTTTTAGATTTGACACAGTAAATCGGTAACATCAAAATTGTCTTCTAAATAAGAAAGTTATAGGTGGTGTAATGCCTCACCCAATATAATACAAATTTTATTAAATAATTATTAGTTATTAATGTTTTAGTTACTTTGATCTAAAAATTTGTTAACGATGCTAATTTTTGTGCTACATACTTTATTAAAATTACTTATTTGTTTATAACTAATTCTTTAGTTCATTATACTACCTTTAAATACCTACATTTAAACGTAAAATCGCTGTTTTATTGATTGATTCACTCGCTATAATATAAAATAACCAAAAATTATTGTGAAGTATTAAAATTTCTTGGTTGAGCAGTTATAAACAGTTTAAAAGCAAATCAGGCCCGTAGTTGGAGGGGGGGGCAAATAGGGCTGAGCCCTACTTTGAATACCCTGAGCCTTACTTTAAAACTTTGTCTTTTTAACTTTCTTTAGATAGAATAACGCAAAAAATTATAATACAAACTGAACTAAAAGTAACGAACAAAATTCATATCTTTGTTAAATGACGTCATTTTTAATGTCAACCGACATTTTTTATTACTGTTTTAGATAGTAGGTACACATCGTTATTTTTCTGGTAAACATAAAAAATAAAGCAAAAAAGAAGAAAATAAAATTAAGAAACTTAAAAAAGTTGTAGAAAGTTTTATACCAGGTGAATAAAAAGTATGGATCCAAACGTTTTTTGCTTAAAGTATTTTTTTTTTTTTGGAATTTCTAATTGATGAATAATAAAGTACTATAAAAATGCGACGTTTTATCAAGAATAGAATTTTTCGAAATTTTCGTTTGTTTTTGAGTTCTAAGAAATTTTTTTATTTTTTAAATGGCAACCACAAAACAAAATTTGTTCTCATAATAATACGATCACATTTTTTATATTACTTTAATTTGTATTAATTATTATTTTCTGAAGTCAAATAATTAAAAAAAATACTGCTTATGGTTCCATACTTTATATTCATCCTGTATATACAAAGAGCTTTATCTTCTTGTTCTTGTTTTATTTTATAAGGGCTGATTGTTTTTTGTTTAGGTCTCATATTAAGTGTTTTCATGCTAATTATGTTAAAAAAATATACAAAAAACAATTGCCCCTTATAAAATAAGACAATAACAATAAGATAAAGACTTTTGTGTTTAACTGTCAATATTTTTAAATTTATTTTATTTATTTTTTGTATATTTTTTTATTTTTTTTTTTCTTATTACCATTGCTATTTAAAACAGTGAACAAAAATGTCAGTTCTCATTTAAAAAAATTGAAAAAAGTGACATCACAACTCAAAAACGAATGACATCATAAATGTCAAAATATAGCATTTACAAAAATAAAATTGACCTGTTCGAGGATTTTTTTTGAAAAAACTGCAGCCCCACTAAAAATTTTGGGCGCCATACGTATAAATTGTTTTTAATAGTTAGAACCTGAAGCAAATTGTTTGTATTTTTCATTGTATACAGTGTGTTTGATAAAAATATTTTATCAACCATAGGTGTTTTCTAAATACGTCTTTTGCTGAGGGCATAATATTTTATTGTGAACGGCCTGCATGTGTATATGACCCTAAAGTTAAATATTTTTCACATAGTACAAAACGCGTGAAATTCGGACAAAAAATAACGAAAATATAGGCCTTTACTTATTCTGTAGCTCACCCGGTATACTTAGAATAAAATAATGTAAATTTAGAAAATGAATTCATGTGATCAAAAATAACTGCCAAGTTATAGTATTTATTGTACAGTTTTTAAGAAACACCCCGTATATGTAAAAAAATTTGCCAATGGCGTCGAATTCGGACAACAAATAAGGAAGATATAGGAGGTTGTCTATTTAATAACTTACCCGGTATATGAAATTAAACAATAGTGATTTTTATTGATTTAAAACCATTTTGCGAATTACATTATTAGTTAGAAAATATTATTTTAGGTTTACATATACAGTGTATTTATAATGTGCCATGTCCTTCTTGCATTTTATACATATACAGGGTGCCCCAGAATTCGCGCCCCAGAAAACAATAAGGTAAGATACCAGGAACATGGAAAAAATGTTAAAAAAATTTATCTATAAAAATTTCGGAGTTATAAGGGCTTAAATTTTGCACTTTGACTTTATTTATTTATTTTGAAAAAAATATTTTACAAGTTTTTTTGCTATAGGCTATTAAAAGAGGAAACAAGGAAGCTGTATCATAACATGTAACTCTGTTCAATGTTATTTGAGGCTTTTATTGGCAAAATTTTTGTACCTTTTCTAAATAATTGTAAAAAAACATATACAAGATCATCAAAATCACACATAAAAAAATGTCAAATGTCAAAAATTTTTGACAGATAGAATTTTTAAACAAATTTTTTCATGTTCCTGGTATCTTACCTTACTTGAAAATTTTCTCTGGGGCGCGAGTTCTGGCGCACCCTGTATATATACTATATAGGATGATTCATCTAAGTCTTCCCTTTGCAGGCGTCGCCGCCATGTTGAACGCAAGTAGCGCGCAGTTCGCCACCGTCGTGGCGCTGCCCATCGTCACCATCCTCCTCGTATGGACGTCGGCCATTTTCCAGCGCAACCGTAAATCCTGGGGCCCTTACGACATCCCCATTGTCACTCTCCTCGTCCTCTCCATCCTCCGTAACCTCACTATCCTCACCTACACCCTTTTCGTGGCACTGAGTCAAGACGTCATCAACCTTGACTACTGCAGCGCCCTCGTGTGGATTTTCAACTCGATTCACACCTTCCAGGCCTGCTCTTTGACAACTCTCGCTGTCATCGGCCTTTTTTCCGTCAAACTTCACCGAAAACAGCAACACCTGAGGCAATTCCTCACCACCACACATGTCATCTATCACTTGTTCTGTCTCACGACGTTGTGCGCGTGCGTGGGAGTGGCCGCCATTTTGGCGCAACCCCAACCGCCATTTTACAAACTATGGGAAACGAATCCGTGCATATTTATGCCTTTTCACCTTGATATTAAATACAATGTGTTTATTATTGTTTTGAACGTGTTTTTGGCCACAGTGTCTGTGATTTCATTCATGGCCACCTGTTTTAATCATTTCAAAATCAAAAAACGCGGTTTTGACTATTTGAAAAAGTCTAATTCGGATTTGAGTGATTTGAGTTTAAGCAACGAACAAAAGAATTTCTACGACACTTATACCATACAAAGAGGTGATCCTAACCTATATGATGGACAGAATCAAGTCGCTTGGAATAGTGACGTTTCAAATATTTCGACAACTGTCAGTAGTACCAACAGCAGAAGGCCGTGTATTACACAACAACCTGTCAAAAATGATGAACACAGAACTGGATTAGAAACTATACATCCGGTGCTAATCGTCTGTTATCTCTTCTATCATCTACCTCTCATTGTAAGTAAAAAAATACTATACTTTCATTTTTTTTTTCGTTATTAAGTTGACGATAATGTTAACATGATGCCGCCATGTTATTTGAAAGTTTGTAATTGCAACGAGTAAATGAATGTAATTGTTTAAGTAGGACAGTGAGAATTGACGCGAGAATTATAATCGAGCGTGTGAAAACGGATATGATATGTTTAGGTACAAAAATATCGAAATTGATGGAATAACTGCACACGCCTACTTGATTTCCTTGCATATTATTAACCTCCGACTTGGTATTGTGCTCATTTTTACATGGAACGCCCTGTATGTGTAAAAATTTTGACCGCAGAGTTGTAACATGCTTAAATTGCTTTCACATAGTGCAAACCGCGTTCATTTCGAGTAACAAATAACGCAGATCTGGGCCCTTACTTATCTTGTGACTCACCCCGTATATCAAAAAAAAAAAAATAATTTTTTAGAATTATACATTATTACTTAGAAAACATTTTTTTTGGTTTTATAAAATGTTTCTAACAGTCTTTTACGCCTCCAGCTAGCTAGATTTCATAATTTTTTTGAAATTTTTAACGCCAAAGGCTCTATGTAATAAATGACTGCAAAGTGATAGTACATTCGAATATGTGTGTAACAGAATAAATTATGCATATTTTTAACCTCTGATAGATATTTGATATTTTTTATGCAACGCCCAGTATATGTAAAAAAATGTGACCTCGTAGTCGTAGGTAGTACGTTTAAATAATTTTAAAATAGTGCAAACCGCGTCAAATTTGGAGAATAAATGAGGAAGATATAAGGGGTTCTTTATTCAATGACTCACCCGGTATATAGAATTTTGAAAAAAAAACAGTGATTTTGTTTTTAAGTTTTGTCTTATTTTTCATTTAGATTTTTAATTATTTTACAACTTATCTCATTCAAAGAAACTCATGGCCATCTAGATTTTGCTGTGTGATATGATTTTAAAACAATTGAGTCTGCAAAAACGTGTATAACATGTTTAGAGAGTTGAAAATATAGGGAATGATGGTATAACCAAACACGCCTACTTGATTCCATTGCATTTTATTAACCTTTGACTTGATACCCGGAAGCTATATAGTGGAATTTATTCTATTTTTGTTTTTTTTTTGTGAAATACCTTGTTTGATTTTTTTTATCTCATAATCTCAAAATATGGCTACAAGGATTGATTCACCCTGTACAATTTTTTATTTTTTATGAACAGGATGATTCGTGAAAATGTACTTTTCAATGCGGTTTGTGCACTTTTTTTGCTTTTCTAAAATAATGTAGTTTTAAATGGTTCCAGTTGACGTGTTGCGTGCGGTTTTTTGTCCTCAGCCATCTAGATTTCGCTATTTTAAGCAAGTTTTTATTGAAAATAAATCGCTTACATTGTGTTTCCAGGCCTGGAAATATCGAAATCGTTCTGTATAACTGGATACGCCTACTCGATTCAATTAATTAGACATTTCCAAAGCATCCTAGATTTCTTTAAAGTTATTAACCTTTGACTTGTCACCTGGAAAGTTGAAAGGAAATAACAATGTCCGGACTTCCGCCATTTTACTTTTCCGATATGACTATTCGTAATGATGGGAAAAAGAAAAGTTTGATGTTATCACATCTTTTCTCAAAAAAAAATTAACGAGTCGCTAATGATTTCACTAGGACACGGCCCAAGGTCTCGAGGTGCCCCAATTCGGGTCACTCGCGTATGTCTCGCGGCAATGGGTCAGAAGTTTAAGATGTGGTAAAGCACAGGAAGTCGAATAATTGATTGGTGGGTTGTAAACGGATTTGTGGGTCGATTTTCAATTTTTTTCCAGTACTTTCAAACTCAATTTGAAAAATCATCACCGACAATTAGAAGAGAATGTGAAATTGCGTACAAGAGAGGAAAAGTTATTAAACACACGGAAGATACTTTCCATAAAATCGATAATTGGTGGTAGTTGGCTGCTGTCACTTATTGTTTTGTTTTGAAAAATGGCCGCTGGCCCAGTGGCGTAACAACTCTTGCCCAATTAAAAAAAAATTACTTCCTTTGTTCCGTAATAAACGTTCAATTCGTGTAAATCTTTTCAACCATCGATGATTGATTAAATATCAAGATGGCTTCGCAACGGATACGCTCTAGATATTTTCTTCTAATAAATTTATGTAATTGTCGTAACAATAAAATTATATTCTTAATCTAAAATCATCAAACCTTGACATATGAAAAAATTCAATCTGTTGCCAACATTCCATCACACCACAAATAAAAACTCATCTACTGTATCGAACAGTTCCGGTGTTTTGTCTTTTCACCCTAAAAATAAATCAAATGTGCGTTTGAGTTGGCAACAATGTTTCACACCTTAAACGGATACGTTCTTGACATACCTATTTGTTACTTTCCCCGATCGAACGGTACTTAATACCGATAATTCTTTTGTTTTTGCAAGAAAACGTGAAAGATCACACAGTTTTGACATTTCTAGCGATTTCTCAGACTTTCCAGTAAAGGTAAAAGATAACAGTGGTGCCACCCTTGAAAAAAATAGAAACCACAAGATAACAATCTTGAAGTGCGACCCTGTATTATTAAAATTCCAGATTATTGACTAAAAAATTACGTCAAAAGATAAAAGTGGTGCCACCCTTGAAAAAATAGAAATTGCAAGATGATAATCTTAAGGTGGCGACCCTGGATTGTCAAAATTCGAATTATTGACCGACATTTTATTAGTAGAATTTGTTAATTGGCCGAAACCTTGAAATTTTTAAGCACATCCGCGCCAATTAGTGACATTTGACGGTCACGGTTGGTAATAATTTTCGTAATTTTTACAAGATTGTAATCTGTAAGTGTCATGGTGGATCATGACGGTCACTGTACTGTTAAGAAATGTACAAATAGACGCTTGTTACACAATTATTTGGAACAAATAGTTCGAAAATGCCGCCATTTGTGTGGTGTCACGTGACTCGCATTATGAAAATTACCCAATTACCTCTAATTGAGACGTAGTTATTGCGACGAATAATTGCAATTCGTGCTGTTTTCACGTATTTAACAATAATAAAACAATAGACCGGTGTTTAAACATTTGTAAACACTGATAAGAATTGATAAGAAGCTTTGACGTGTTGTAATGTTACATTGAAGCGTTTGCGTCAGGAAACGTGTAGCCTCTTTAGCTCAGTGGCAGAGCACTGGTCTTGTAAACCAGGGGTCGTGAGTTCAATCCTCACAGGAGGCAAATGCTCAAAAAACCAAACAAACTTTTTTTTTCAATTTTTTTTTGTAATTAATGATTTTGGTTACAGGTATTGAGTATTTATCCCGAACTAGTGTTCCCGTGGGACGTCGCAGGTGTTGCATTATGGCTGGGTCTTGTCCAAGACATTTTAATACCAATTGGGTTGGGTATTGTTGATTCCAGATTTTGTAAATGGGTGTCTAATGTCTACAAGTGTTCTAATAACCGTGAGGGAGACAAATTACCACATGGTAATTAATTTATTAAAAAAATTGTATTGTTGGTTGCCTAATTAAAATCATTTAAATTATCTAGTCGGCTTGGATGGAAAGTTTCGGCCGTTTAGTAGCCCTCCCCAGTCACTGGAAGTGGCACAAAATCAGAGGGCCATGCAAACAATCGAGCATCGATTTCCGCTAACCAATGGTTCACTCTACACAAGTATAGATGGCCGACTTCCGGTCATCCATAATTACCGACGCCACAAGGAGCAAAGAGGTAAAAAACGCATTTTTTTCGTTCAATCTAGTGACATTTTTTTACAGGTGTCAAAACTGAGTTTAGTCAGGCGTACCAACGCCCCAACTTGGAGTTTTCCTGTCGCAGTTGCGAGGCCGATTTGTGCCCCAGCCACTCGAATTTGCATCATTTGAGCCCCCAGTACATCAACAAACAATTGAATCTAATCCAGAGTAAAAATCCCCTAACGAAACGCACCAGTTTATCACAGGAGAGTCTCCGGTACATCCCCGAAACCCACTTCTACCAGGAGCAGATAAAAAATTCGCGTAATTTGCTCCGATTGAATAAAATGCGGCTGTGTAAAAGCGAGGATAGTCTGAATGACGTCACACGTGAACTGAAATTCAAAGCCACCCCTGATCGGGTGGAGTATTCGAGTTCTGATGAGGATTTTTTGCCCGAAAATCGCAATTTTGACACTTTGAGTTCGCAAAGTTCGTACTCGATTACCACCGAGGCCAATTGCGATTTCGAATTTTTTCAGAATAATAAAGAGAGGATTTTTTTTGAAAATAACGCAACGAGGCCTAAGATACAAAGGTCGAATTCTTATATGACTCTCGAGGACCGGAATAAGAAGAGGAATAAAAAATTGTTGCGTTCGAATTCGAAATTGTCAGATTGCACGCATAATATCCGAAATAAAGTGAAATCAGTCGAGTATTTGCCCAATTCGAATGCTAGTACTGTTTTTATCGAAGATGTTTTCTACTTCAATTATCCCAACCAGACGCGGAGTTACGTGGGAAGTGTACCTGATTTGAAAAAAGTCTTTATTTCAGAGTATATTTGAGCGATTTATTGTATATAATCTATTGTATATATTTTAATAAAACAAATTAATCGACGCTCAGTTTCTTGAAATTGCCGTGAAACCCCAAAATCTCGTCATTTTCCAACTTCTGCGGCCTTTTGGCCTCATCGACGTGAAGTTTGTCCAGTTTGTCAAACCTGTCTTGATACTGCGCCAACTTCAGGTCCAACAAACCTTGAAGCTCCTCTAGTGACTTTTCCTCGCCTCCGTAGTCCCTCGGTAGGATTCTTTTAGGGATTTTTTCCGTCAAAATACTGGTATCTTGGCAAACATGTATCCGTTCGAACAATTTTGGTTTCATTAGACTTTTCAATATTCCCAGAATTGTGCTAACAAACGGGGGACTGTTCACCACGTAGATGGCTTTCATGGGGATTGAGAAGACTTTCTGAAACTGAGGTTGGCACAAGTGTCAGACAGTGCAACCAACTTACTTCGTAAACTGTCAAAACTTTGGCGACGATACTGGGTGTTAGTTTCTTAATGTACCCGAAATTGATTCCCTCATTGTCAAAAATGGTGACGTCACCGAACATTACATCCTCTTTGAGTCGCAACTCTTCCAAGTTGATGACAAGTCCGATGACGTTTCGAGGCTCCATCTTGTCGATCATTTGTTTGTTTCGCATTTTGAAAACCATCACTCGGTGCATATCGTCGGTCATTTTCGGGAGTGCCAACCAATAGGCAATTTGGCGCATTTCGGCCATGTTCGGCTTTCGCGGATTGACGTGTTCGTAAAACTCCGGGATTAAAGAGCGCACCGTGTAGTACATGTCGATGCTTTGTTTTGTTCGTTCGATACTGAATTTAGTGAGAATTAGAAAATTTTCGATGCTTTTATCGTCTGGAAAATAGGGGAGTTTTACGACACAAATTTTAGGTTGGTATCACGCTCACCCAAAATTTCGGGAAGGTGGCCCTGACTTGTCATCCAATTCTTCAATTTTGCTATGTCAAGCCGAAGACTTTCTTCATTTTGGTCATAAAGTTGCAAGATTGTTTTCAAAGCGTCGGCACTTGTTTCAAACATGATGGTTAGAAAGTGACTAGTGAGTTAAGTAATAAGAAACTTTTACAAGACCTTCACGTTCTACTTTTATTGCACAATATCGCCGGTGAAATGACAAAGCCTCGTATCCATAAAACTTTAATTTTACAGCAAACACAAGAAACTTGTTATTTGTATTGTTATAAAAGCAAATGCACTTAATTTTATCTCTAATATAGCACAAAAATCAAATTTGGCGCCACGGTTTTGGCGCTAAATTCAATTTTTTTCCTTTTAACCGGCTTTTTAACCTTGATAATGCAAGGTGAGCGCGATGAGGAAATAAATAAACCACAATTTAATGATGTTTTATTACACAACTGCAAAAATCGATTTTTTAGTCTACATCAAGTTTCTTAAAATTGCCATGAAATCCCAAAATGTCGTCATTTTTCAGACTTTCAGGCCTTAGTTTCTCATCGACTTGAATCGTGTCCAAATGGTCATACCAACTTTGATATTCACAGAGTTTAGTTTCCAACATTTCTGAAAAAAATCATTGCATACTAAATTTTTTCTATAAAAATTTACCTCCGAGTTGTTGGAGTGTAAGCCCCGTCCCTCCAAACTCCGCCGGAAGTACATCTTCCGGAAACATGTCTTTCAGGGAGTCCAAGTCGGTGCACACTTTGATCTTGAATGAATTAAAAAAAGTATTGTTTTTTTGACTAAATTTGAACTTACTCGTTCGAAAAGTTTCGGTTTCATGACTTTTTGGGCTAGAGTCAGAGCCGCCTCTCCAAATTTGGGGAAATTAACAAGACAGAGTCCTTTTAAACGCGACGAGTACAATTTCTAAAAATTGTTATAAATTTATGACTCGCAAAATTATGACTTACTTCATAAATTATGGCCAAGGCTTTGAACACAAAAGTCGGTGTTAGTTTTAAAACATAAGACACCGGGACGTGGCTACAATCCACTATAAAATACTCCCCAAAAGTCACATCTTCTTTCATGCGAATTTCATGAATCGACAATAGATGGCGCAGGACGTTCATGGGTTCGAGTTTTTCCCCCAAGTGCTCTTGGCGCATTTTAAAAATGAACAAACGGTTATTTTTGAACGTTTTGGGATAAATGACGAAATACATAATTTCCCTTAATTCTTTCAAATGGGGCAACTTGGGGTTGCTCTCCCCGAACACGTCCTCCAGTTTTGACCTCACGGTGAAGTACATATCGATTTTTTGCTTGGTTTTCTCCACACTACACTTATTCAACAAGAGAAAATTCTGAATAACTCGTTTATCTAAAAAATTCCGTAAAATTAAGACGGTTTTTCGCGAAAAATTACCCAAAACTTCCGGTAGGTGGGGCTGCTCTTGAAGCCATTTTGTCACAACTGAGACGTCCTCATCGAACGATTTTTCGTCGCGATTGAAGTCTTTTATCACATCGTAGAGGATCGCATCTTCGACTTGGAGGAAATTCTGCTTCATTTTGACAATGGACGGGTTTACAACATTGGGGCATTGCTTATCTACTCTCCCCTCTTGCTAAAATCGCCTTGAGTATTTTTAATTGTGTCAAAAATTTTGAAAAAAAGGAACCTGTAATCTGGAAAAAACAATCACAATCCGTCGAAAGTTGTTCACAGTTCACAACCGGTCAAGTGTGACTCAAGGTTGGCAAAAATAACGTGAATCACTCGTAAATGTTAATTTGAAAGCAATTTTTATTAAAATGTAGGCAACCAACAATACATAATTTAAAAAAATCTTGTTTCTGTGACTACAACATTGTTTGGTCTATGAGTAAGTCAAATGGAGCATCTCGACGAAGAGCTTTCCAATTTTTTGTACAAAGTGAATCAGGTCAATAGCATTGTCGAAAAACTGGCCTCAAAAGATGAGAACTTGCAAAAAATCGGCGATTTGGAAGCTCAACAATACTTGGGTGAAGAGAATGACACCAAATACGAGAAAATCGACGAAAAGGAGCTCAAAATTCGAAGTAGCCGGACTATAATTAACCGAAAAGCGCTGTTGCGTGAGGAAAACCCGGCAACAATGTCGCAAGGTACATTCCGCCATTTTGTCAATTTCAAAATTTTCTTTTAGAGGCTTTTATGGAGGAAATGTCGAAAGATGCTGACCGGAGATACAAAGAAAAGTTGATAAGACGTGAAAAAATGGAAACTTTAAGAAAACAAGCCACGCTAGCGTTCCGTCGAGGTGAATTCGAGAAAGCGTTGACTTTATACACCAAAGTATGTGCTAAGTCAGTGACTTGACTTGACTTGACTTGACTTAAAATTGACAGGCGATTGAGCAAATCAGAGACAGCTGTGGGTTATACACAAACCGGGCCTTGACTTACATCAACTTAAAACATTACGATAAAGCTGTAGTTGATTGTGAAACGGCCTTAAGACTCAATGAAAATTCACTCAAAGCTGGGTTACTTAAGGCCAAAGCACACTTTCTACAAGGCGATTTGAGGAGTTTTGAGGAAACGGTGAAAGAAACAAAAGAACGAAATGAGGACAAGATGAGTTTTATTGAAGGTTAGTTTTTGCAATTTTGGCCCCAATAATTGTTGCTTTTTTAGATTTTGTGAAACAATTGAGCGAAATAAAAGACAAGTAGCTGGCATTTTTATCAACACGCTGTATATTAATTAAATGTGTAAACACTGTTGGCAACATAACAGAAATAAAGTCACTAGTTATGTCATTGTTTAATTTACGCGTTGTTTCGAGTTTTTGGGGGTTGTTTTTTTGTATTCTTTAACAGAAGTCGTGAAAAAGTGCTGTTTTTTTGGTTTATATCATAATTCTGGTTATTTTTCTGGTGAAATTTCTTCGAAGAACCGGTAAGTTTAAATTTTCATTTGTTTAGTATAAAATAACCCCCAGAGGGTCTAAAAGACACTACCTGAGTACGTATTTAGTTGTTTGTGGCACGTTTTAGTCTATTTATGTTTTTTGTGTGATTATTTTGTTTATTAAAGTCTCATAACCTATACAAACTTTTATTAATTAAATAAAAATTACAATAAATACGTCCTTAAGCCTATTTAATACTCAATTGTGACACATTTCGTTTTCAAATATTCGTTGAGAGCGTCTTGTCCTGAAAAACAATCATCAAAATCACAATTGCTGCCAACTTAACAATCCTAAAGTACCTAAATCCTTGCCAAATCCTGACTGTTTGAAGCCTCCAAATGGCGCCGCGACGTCTGTTTTATTATAAGTGTTGACAAAAACAGTTCCGGCTTCGACTTTTTCAGCAAATTTCATCGCTTTGGATAAATCACGAGTGAAAACCCCCGACGCGAGGCCATATTCCGTCGCATTGGCACGTTTCAAGACGCCATCAATGTCCCTAGAAACAAAATAAAATATCCCTAAATGAGTGAAAATCGACTCACCCATTGCTAAATTTACTGATAACCATGATGGGGCCAAATGACTCTTCTTTAGCTATGAACATGTTGTCTTCCACGTGACTGAAAATCGTCGGTTGGAGGAAATACCCCTTTCGGTTTAAGCGTTCGCCCCCATATTCCAACTTAGCCCCCTCTTTGACCCCCATTTTGACATATTCAAGGAGTTTGGTCAAGTGGGCGAGGTGGTTTTGGGGGCCATGAGATGTTGATTTGTTGAGGGGATCCCCGATTGTAATTTTTTTCGTCTCAGAGACCACTCGTCGGATGAACTCGTCGTGGATGCTCTCCTCGACGAAGAGTCGCCCGGCGGCTATACAATTCTCCCCCTTGTTGAAAAAAACACTTTGCATCCCCTAAAATCACAATTAGAGTATGCCAAATCGGGGGGTTTACCCACCAATCGGACAGCTTTGTCTAAATCGCAGTCGGCGAAAATGACAAGTGGGGACTTCCCCCCAAGTTCCAGTGACACTTTCTTCAAGTTTGATTCAGCACAAGTTTTCATTATGACTTGACCGATTTCGGTACTTCCCGTGAAGCCCAATTTGCGGATTTCAGGATGCGAGGCGATTGCTTGACCGGTCATTGACCCCGTCCCGGGAACCACATTGATTACCCCCGGGGGAATCCCCGCTTTGACCGACAATTCAGCGAATTTGAGGGCCGTTAAGGGACACACTTGGGCCGGTTTAATGATTACTGTATTACCGGCCGCGAGACAAGCCGCCATTTTCCACGAAAGCATCATAAGTGGGTAGTTCCAGGGTGTGATTAACCCGCAAACCCTACAAGTTTCTCATTCGTGGGTTTCAAGAGGCGTGGCTTAACTCACCCAATCGGCTCTTTTTTCGTAAAAGAAAGGTTTTTATTGGGCCGGGCGTGCGAAACTGGGATTGTTGATCCCTGGATTTTATCCGCCCATCCGGCGAAGTACCGCCACGTTTCGATACTCATCCCTATGTGCGTCTTCAGGGCTAGAGTGTAAACCGCCCCTGAATCAATCGACTCGATCGTGGCCAACTCTTCGCGATGTTGGTGCATCAAGTCTGCCAACCTAAAGCAAAATAAAACACTATTTGACCAATGAAAAAATTCAAATTACTTGAAAAGGAGTTGTCCGCGGTCACGTGCACTGATTTTGCTCCATTCGCCCTCCTCGAAGGCCTTTTTGGCCGCTTGGACGGCCCTATCCACGTCTTGGGGCGACCCACATTGGACCTAGAGCCGAGTTTTGATTGGTTGTTTCACATCACGTGGTACTTACCTCACAGATTGTTTCCTCAGTTGTTGGGTTGATTGTTGGTAGAGTTTTACCATTTTCAGCATCGATAAATTCTCCATTGATGAAAAGTTGGCAAGGGAATTTGATTTTGCGACCGTTTGTCTCAATTTCAACAGCTCTATAGTTGATTTCTTGGGGGGTTTCCCCGCCTCGTTTTTTCAAAATGGCGTTCAAGGAGAATTCGGTGAAAACCGCGCTGAGGAAGACATCTTCGTTTTGGAAATCCTCAATTTTGAGTAAATCTTTGATTTCTTCGACTAGACGGACGACGTCCATGGAGCCGGCTCCTGAGGCAAAAAAGTCGGTTTCATCCTCAATTTCCACATTGAGGATTGCCTCCCAGATACTCCTCATTGCCTCAATTTGTAGTTTCTCGTCTTGGGTCAACTCAATTGTGACTTGTTGACCAGTTTGGAGTAATTTTGAGGCGAGTTTGACTCTTCCCTCAATTTTGACTCTTTTGACATTGACTAAAGTACCGTCAGATCCAGTCAAAATCAACCCATCGTCATGGATGAGCCCATTTGGACCTCCTTCAACCTCAATTTCACTCCCTGTGGGTTTCCCCTGCTTCCAAAGACTCGACCCAAAAAGGGCAATTTCATGGTACTCGTCGTTGAGTTTGACCCGACACAAAGCCCCCGGAACCGAATCCATCCCTCGGATAAAATCGTGTAACTCCCTCCCGGTTTTCCCCCAATCGACTTTGAGTAATTCGGGTTTGGTCAACATGGGATCATAGGTGGCGCCTTTGTCACTTTGTGGTTGTCTGGGGGCGGTACCATCAGCGACAAGGTCAACGGCCCGAGCCAGGGCAGTGACCCCAGCCGGATACAGAAACCTGTTATACAACGAATCGACAGTATCGTTTTCGTAAACGTCACACTCTTCCTGCAACAGGATTGGTCCAGTGTCCAACCCATCGTCCGCCCAAAAAACGCTAAACCCCGCCTTTTTATCGCCGCAAATCAGCGTCCAATTGATGGAACTGGCCCCACGGTGACGTGGGAGGAGCGATGGGTGGTAACAAATCGTCTTGAGGCGGGGATAATTTATCACTTCCATCGGGATGAATTGCGAGCAATAGGGGAGGACGTTCAAATCGGCGTTGACACTCCGGTAATTGGCGAGCACTTCGGGAAGGGGCGTGCCGGATTTGCGCCACGCCTTGACCTTGAATAGGGGGATGTCGTACTCACGGGCGACTTTAGCTACAATTTTTTCTATTAAAATTGCTAAGTGGGGATTTTGACCAACCTAAAGGATCCTCCCTTGGGCCCTTATCAAGGATGGTGAACACCCCGACGATCACATGACCGTGTTGACGCAACCGTTGCATGACATCGACGGCGAAAGGGCTCTGCCCTATGATGGCAATGCGAAGGGATGGCGTGTTGGTGATTGTGCTTTGCTGGTGGAATTTTGATAAGTTAAAGGGAAGTGAGCGAATTTTGACTTACATTTGGTGGCATTTTGCGTTGTTGTGGCACGAGGTGATAGGAAACTGAATGATTGAAATATGATCGGACATTTATAGCATTTGAAGCGGCTTATCTTTAGTTTGTTGTAATTTAGTTACTTAGTCCTTTCTCTTTTCTTATCTAGAGGGTGGTCCGAATTTGGCGCTCAAAATGACAATTGATTAGTACCAATGCATTTATTGACAACTCTGTACAAAAAACTACAGGGTGTCTCATCTAAGTTGTTATCGGTTACTGTTTTTTTATATTTTCTTCACAATTAAAATCTGTAAATTTTCATAAACAACTATGAAAAAAATTGATTTCTTTTATATTGCTATTTTGACTTTTACTGGACAAAAATTATCACGTACAGGGTGTCCCATCTGAGATTTTTCTCAGTAATTTGTTATTCTAAAGTAAAGAAAAACCAGTCAGTGGATGACAAATGTTACCTTTTTCCTATGAGTTATTCATTTATTGATTTCCCTAAACGATAATATTATTTATAAGATTAAAAAACACCAATATTTTTTTCTTTTTTCATAAAAAAATGTCACTGTCAAAATTGAACATTTATTTGTTGCAAAATAATTATTTCTCCCAATTTTCACAACTTTGTAAAAAAATGTTAAGTATAGCACATCTTTGGTTGCCAAATGTAATTTTTGGTCCTTTTTTTCCTTATAATAAATTGACTTATTGAATTAACTCCTTGTTGATTCTTCTAAACAATAATAATTAAAATATTGTTTTTCAAATAAAATTGAAATCCACTAAACATTTTTCGTCTTTTTCATTAAAAAATCGTCACGGTCAAAATTGGACACTTATTTTTGACATCTTTGTAAAAAAATATCAATTATAGGGTGTCTCATCTAAGATTTTTCTCAGTAATTTGTTATTCTAAAGTAAAGAAAAACCAGTCAGTGGGTGACAAATGTTACTTTTTTCCTATGAGTTATCCATTTATTGATTTCCCTAAACGATAATGTTATATAAGATTAAAAAACACCAATATTTTTTTCTTTCTTCATAAAAAATGTCACTGTCAAAATTGGACATTTACTTGTTGAAAAATAATTATTTCTTCCAATTTTCACAACTTTGTAAAAAATATCAAGTATAGAGTGTCCCTTCTTAGATTTTTCTGATTAATATGTCATTCTAAAGTAAAGAGAAAAACACATCTTTGGTTGCCAAATGCAATTTTAGTCATTTTTTTCCTTATAATAAATTGACTTATTGAATTAATTTTTTGTTGATTCTTCTAAACAATGATTAAAATATTGTTTTTTTTAAATAAAATTGAAATGCATCAAACTTTCATATTTTTTTTCATAAAAAAATTGTTTTTGTCACAATTGGACACTTAGTTTTAACAAAATATGCCTTATCTTATTTTTTTTTTAGTTTTTACAATAGATGATCAAGTACAGGGTGTCTCATCAAGATTTCTGTAATAAAAATTTTGTTTTAAAGTGAAGAAAAACCGGTTTATGGGTGACAAACATTATTTTCTTTGTTGATTTTTCTGAACAATATTTTTTACACAAAAGTTGGGCATTTATTTGTTGAAAAATAATATTTTTTTCATTTTTGACAACGTTGTAAAAAAATATCAAGTATCAAAGTATCAAATATATAGTATAGTGCCCCACCTTAGATTTTTGTAATTAATACGATTATGTCATTTTAAAGTAAAAAAACACATCTATTAATGCTAAATGCAATTTTTGGTCATTTTTCCATTATATGTAATAAATTCATTAATTAAATTAACAATTTGTTAATGTTCCTAAACAATAATTAAAACTTGGATGTTTTTTATAAAATTGAAATGCACTATACTTTTTTCGTTTTTTTCATAAAAAAATTGTCACTTTCAAAATTGGACATTTACTTGTTGAAAAATAATTTTTTCTTCCAATTTTCACAACTTTGTAAAAAATATCAAAAATATCAAGTGTCCCTTCTTATATTTTTCTGATTAATATGTCATTCTAAAGTAAAGAGAAAAACACATCTTTGGTTGCCAAATGCAATTTTTGGTCATTCTTTCTTTAAAATAAATTGATTAATTGAATTAATTCCCTGTTGATTCTTCTAAACAATAATTAAAATATTGTTTTTTTTTTTAATAAAGTTGAAATGCATCAAATTTTCATCGTTTTTTTCATAAAAAAATGTCATTGTCACAATTGGACACTTAGTTTTTACAAAATATTCATTCCTTACATTTTTTTACAATAAATGGTCAAGTACAGGGTGTCTCATCGAGATTTTTGTAATTTAAATGTTATTTTAAAGTAAAGAAACACCGGTTTATGGGTGCCAAATGTTATTTTATTTGTTGATTTTTTTGAGCCATATTTTTTTTCACAAAAATTGGACATTTGTTTGTTAAAAAATAGTCATGTCTTTCTTTTTTGACAACTTTGTAAAAAAATATCAAGTATAGGGTGTCCCTTCTTAGATTTTTCTGATTAATATGTCATTCTAAAGTAAAAATAAAACACATCTTTGGTTTCCAAATGCAATTTTTGGTCATATTTTCCTTATAATAAATTGACTAATTAAATTAATTCCCTGTTGATTCTTCTAAACAGTAATAAAAATATTGTTTTTTTTAATAGTATTGAAAAGCATAAAATTTTCATCGTTTTTTTCTTAAAAAAAAATTACACTGCCACAATTGGACACTTACCTACCTACTTATTCTTTACATTTTTGACCAAGTTTTACAAAA